GACATCAAGAAGAATCTGAACAAACAGGGCTTGTTGATTTTCACCCAACTTATAGATCAGACCTTTTGGTTGTCCAGTCATACTCCTGCCTGACAGCCCATAGAAATAGTTTTTCCTGAGCCTTTGGGTTTTTATATTTGAAAACTCCCTCTCCATTTTGATTACAGAAATTTCTTTCTTTCTCTTTCTTTCTTTCTTTCTTTCTTTCTTTCTTTCTTTCTTTCTTTCTTTCTCTCTCTCTTTCTTTCTTTCTCTCTTTTTTTGTACCAGGGATTGAACTTGGGACCTTCCTCTTCCAGGCAGGTGCCAGAACCACTGAGCTAAATCCCCAGCCCTGATTACAGAAATTTCTTTTTTGCTTTTCTCCTGTTAGCCTGTCTTTTGTCATAGGAGTGTTAGCAATGAATCTGGTGATGGGTGAGGAAAATACATTACATTTTCTCCCCTCTAGTTAGTTCTCAAGACTATTGATGATGATAACGGTGACAATGATAATACTGTTGATGCATTCATAAGATACTAAGTTTTGAGCTTTAATACTGATAGGTTTGGAATAAAAGCATTTCTCTGAAAAATGGAACCAATCCATCATTCCATTTGTCTGAAAATCAGTGATTATAGAATTAATGTATAAAACATAAAGTGATTGTTTTAAGTAGATTGAGGGATTAATGATGTGTGAATCTTTGTCACTGATTAATTATACACATACATATATCGCACAGAGTTAGAAATTGGTAATGTAAATGTGAATAAGACAAACTTGCTTCCAAAAGACACACAATTTCAAAAAGTTAGTGCTTCAAATGGAAAAGTATGGGATAGGATGGTGTAGCTCAGTGGCAGAGCTTTTATGTAGTATGTCTGATAGCTTGGGTTTGATTCCTAGTACTGGAAAAAAAAAACCCAAAGGGTAAAACATAACATTACAACCTCAGCTCTCCTATTCCATACTTATCCATTTAGCACTAGGTTTAAGAATTTACACATGTTAAATCATTGAATACATCCTCTGGATTAGGTCTATTATTATACTCATTTCACAGAGAAGGAAACTGAGACAGATTTAGCAACTTCTTTGAGACAATAAAGCTAATAAGTGAGGAAACTGAGACTCAAACACAGGGAATCTCATTACTCCATGCTCATTTTTTACTGTCATAGGTAAATTTCTACCCCAGCCTCTTCTTGCTTATCTTTGAGAACAGGATGCCTATAGGGCAGGGGTTCCTCTTCAGGTGGGCCAGCCAGAACTGGCTGGATCCAAGATGGCTGCCAGAGTGACAACCTCTACCTTCATTGTAACACCTGCATGCTAAATGACATCCCCCAGTGCCATGACAGTTGAGAATTGCCATTACAATAATCAGAAAGACCCATACAAGGAACAGAAAGAGACAATACCCAAGTTCTCAGAGAAGACAGAAGTATTCCTCCCCTTTATTATCAATTCCTCTTCCTTATATTTTTTTAACCTTGTAACTATAACCTGACTCCCAACAAACTGAGAAAATGATTTGCAAATTTATCTTCCACTTCCCCCTACTCTTGGCCAAGAATAAGTTTCCTCTGCTGCTCCACTGGTCTTTGGTCTTTTTAATTAGTTCCACAATTCCAAGAGGGAAAGAGAACCACATTAGGGGTCCAAAATTGGAAACAGTCCACCTGTGAAGCCAAAGAACCATTTAACTACTACTCCTTTCCTTGCTTTAAAGACTCAATTAACATATTTTCAAATAAATAAAGATTTGGAGACAGAGAGAAAGGAGCTTGAGCAGAAGTCTTCTCTAGGTGTGAAGATGTGGTGCCTGTAGGGATGGGCTCTCAGTCTTAGGGTAGAGGAGCAGGGTAGGTTCCCCTGATACACAGCACAGAAACCTCACAGGAAGACCTTAGGAATATTCCAAGAGATGGGGGAAAATAGCCTTTGAAAGGAGAGTTATACTACCTGCACAAGTTTTAAATTCTTGCAGAAAAATACACACAGGATTTCAATTTGGGAGGCCTGAAACATTTTCCATTATATGAGATGAGCTCAGGGTTTTCCCCCATCAAAAGAAGGCAGGAGTTTCCCCTCCAAGGGGGCTGGACCCTCCACCTGCTTCACTTGCTGTAACTATGAGGACCTCATAGAGCCCAGTGCCCTGTGCTCATGTGTGAATAATGCCCCCTCTCCCAGCTATACAAAGAATGAAGTGGGAGCATAACTTCCAGAGTTATACAGTCGACAGTTGGGGACACAGGGGTTAGGGAAGGAATGATGGGTGTGGAGAATAATATCCAAGATCCCCTGTATTCCAAATGTTGCTAGGACACATTCTTCTCCCTAGTATTTCTCCTGGCCCAGGGGTAAACCAACTCACTTTACTTTTCCCATTCCACTCCATTTGCTTCTAATAAATTTGTTTTACATCTTTTACCTAGAAGAGCAGAGAAAGTGAAAAGAAAAGCTAAACTCTGCTTCCATCAAAGCACACACCAACCTCCCCGCCCTGCCCACCCACCATTTATGTCCAGCTCCAGGTGGAACTTTGGCTTTTAAATGCAGAAAAGAAAAACAAAGCCACTGGAAGATGCTGATTGTAAGTATTTGAGCTCTCAAAAGACCACTGAAAGATACATCTACATTTCAAAGGAAAACCAGACTCCCTCTCTTGAGCCTTTGCAGAGTGACCTGCATTAAGAACTCTAGGATAGAGTCTGGATTAGTGGGAGAAAGAGGGTTCAGTCTGCAAAGTGAAGGAGAGATGGACAAATGATCAAAGGAAATCTTAGGAAACATTGAAAATTGCCCACCTCTGGGACTGCATTTGTAAGCCCCTCCTGGTTAAGGAGACCCCAAATGAAGACTCATTTTTTGGTGGTAAGGCCTCAGCAGATGCCAATCTTGGCCCTAATGACACCCGTCACAAATCCAGGCTTCTCATTAATGCTTTGGCTATCTGTAGAGTCCTACTGAACTCAGAACACACAACTAGGGTTCCCCGGTATGTTTATGACAGCCTTGTCTTTATGGGTATCCCCACTACCTTGGGGTGTCTCTTATTGTCAGAGATTAGGCTCTTGCCTCCTGGCAGACAATCTCTTCAAATAGAAATTAAATTTAGCTACAGTAAAACCAACATCACATCGTTTCTTGCACACTGGTTGTGTTGAGCCATAGTCATATATCTTACTCATCCTCCCTATTCCAACAGTCCAGGACTGTTTTATCACAGAATTTCCTCACCTCAAGCCTCAATTTGTGTCACCAAGTATTGTCACTTCTGAAATGTGTGGTATCCCTGATACAGGAGATTAGGGCACGGGAAAACTGGCTGGAGAAGTAGGCATGACCTGTTAATTACAAAATCCCAGGACACAGGCCCAGACCAGATCCCAAAGCCCTTCATGTGGACTTCTTAGAACTTGGACAGCCTAGCTCTGATGTCATCTTGAGGAGTAGGTGACACCAAGAGGACAGTCCACATTGAGTTTTTGCCACTGTGTTCTCCCTTGTGTGGCCCAGTCTCATGTTGTAGGGTGTACTTCTTTTCCTACTTTTACTTGGCCAAACTTGCTCGACAGAACCTGTTTCTTTTTCTACTTTTAATAAAACTTTGCTACCATTTGTGTTTGTCTTGACCAATTATTTGCTTAAAACAGAAAGAACCAAGAAACCACCTCCAGAAGGAAACTCCAGCACCCAGTAATATCACTTCAGCCTCTCCACTATCTCTCCATATTCTCTTGAACCTAAAGTATTATAATCAATGTCACCAAGGATGTTTATTTAAAATGCCCTGAGCCCTAAGAATTGGCCTCATTAGGTTCAAATTCATGCAGTTTTCTTCTCTATCAACTTCTTACAGCCCCAGATGTCTCTGTCCTCTGAACTTTGCCTTTCAAGTGAGCACTTCACAGCCTACTCTGTGGCATCTTCTCATTGCTTCTTGGATGTGTAGGGGAGGGGGGATTTCCTTCCTGACCCATTGCTAGGTTCATGGCTGAAGCCCTTATAGCAAAAGGCAGATAAACAAGAAAAAAAGAGAGCAAATTTATTTAATATGTATCTTACACAGCACAGGAGCCATTAGCAATAAAGAACCACAGACAACAGGGAGACCTGTGTATTTTTATGCTTTAGTTTGATGAAGGGGGGAATATGACTGGATAAAGAGAATGTGATCTGCTGATAATAAACTGGGGTGAACTCAGAAAGGCCTGTTCATTCAGACTCTTCTTAGTGTTTCTGTGCCTTCATGGATAAAGATGTTCCTTTCCTCCAGGGATGGGGGGCATCTCTGGGATGAAAGTTTCATGACCAGCTTTAGGGAAGACTGGTGGTAAAGGGAAGGTGAGAACAAACTTCCTGCTTCTGCTATTTTCTGAAGTGCTAACATCCAAGGTTCTATAGTTGAGGTAGTAAACCTTGAACTGGTGATCATTTTACTTTCCTAGTTAGAGGTTTACTTCTCCAGGGGTAAAAACATGTGTAAATACTTTCAACCCAGGAAAAAGAAAAAAAAAATCAGAAAAATATTATGTACCAGCCACTGAGCTAGAACGATTCCTACTTGTGTTCTCATTCAAGTCTAAGAAAAATCCTGAGAGGTGGTATGTCAAAGCATAATTTTTAAAATGCTAAAAACATAATTCTTATACAAATATATAATGAGCATGTGTCAAATTTTATGTAGCTCATTATTAAGGAACTAGCAGGATGGCAAAGCTAATTCAAGTTATGAGAAACAAGAATTATAGTCAAGATAGGAGAGAGGGGAGAAAAAGAATGTGGAGAAAGCATTGCCAAGTTACTTAAAATGAGTTAATATCCTACAAGATGATGAAACCATAATGATAGGAGCTATCTTCTCTACTGGAGAGAAATATATTGCTTAACAGTTTTACAGAATTGATTAGAACCTAACCAATTAGGCAAATTCACATTTACTCAAATAGAAAGATGAATTTTAGGTGTATTTTTAAGAAAATGTTGCAAACGTGGGGTTAAGAGTCACCTCATCTTCTGTCTCTCTTATTTCCTGCTCTGGAAGATTTTCCTAATAGTAGGTATCGCATATCTCTGTGTTACAGATGTAGAGACTGAGGCCAGAGTGGTGAAGTTTCTTGCCTAGGATTATAAATAAGTTAAAGAGTTAAGTGTCTATGCTAAAGTTTGTCTGATTGCAAAGGCCACCTTCTCTCTACTCTATTATAATATACAACAAGACACATAAAAAGTATTTAATAAATATTTCTAAATTGACACAGGAATAGCATCCAAAGGCTTAGCTTACACAATTTTAGCAAAGTAACCAAGAATTACTAATACTTGTCCCTAGAGTGCTTAAAGTATTTATTGGAAAAAGTTACACACAGAGAAAAAGGGAAATGCCATTGTTTGAATGGTGGTCCTCCAATCCTCTGTCAGATGGTATATGTCAGAGAAGCATGCTCTTAGGAGAGCAACAATCCTGATTGTCTCTCTACAGTAAGCAACATTGTGTCATATGCTGCAGATACAGCATTTTGACTTTGCAACTCTTGCCTTAGACAATCATTAGACAAATACTTTTGGTCACCTACTGGATGCTAGGAACCTACCGATACCACCATTCATGGCATAAAAATTAATTATTTTAAGGCACATAAAATTATTTATTGTATTTTATTTTACTTGGAGAATTATGTGATTTCAGATGGCCAGAGATGAACTAGTGATAGTGAATGATGCCACATTAAAAGCCTGAAAATTATCTTAGTTGATAGGCTTCCGAATTCTAACAATTCTTACCCTCTACAAGAGCAGTGTCATCACAGGGAGCATTCGGTAACTTGAAGGGTAACAATGTACTTTTCCCTCAAGACAGAGCAGACACTACTATTTTGCATGTTCGTTTGGAAAGAACCAGATACTTTTGTAAGAAGCCAAACCACTTTTCCTTTCTACATAACTTCAGCAAATAAGAAGTTCCTTCTCACCAAACAACATCCAATTCCACCCCTCCTTTGAATGGTTGTAGTACTGTTTCTAGACAGCAGAGGGCACTATGAACAGCTACACTTGATTATCAAATTTTAATAAATGCAAACAAGCTCAAGAAGAAAGCGAACTTACCCAAATTTTGTGCTCTATGGTCAATAATGGATGCATTTTTTAAGACTCTACTTTCTTCCCAAACACATATATAAGAAAAAATTTTTCTCAAAGTGTGGGTGCGTCTACTGGTATTCCACTTATATCTATCAGAAAAAAAAATAGGAAATTTTTATACTAAGGAAGAGTCAGTCTACCCATTATCTAATTAACAGCCCATGAATAAACAACTCCCTTTAAAAATTGGAAAAAATCATTATCTTCTCCTAATGAAAAGACAGCCATCATAATCATAAACATTATATAAGAGCAGCCTGGCTATTATTTAGCCTGGTACAACAACTAAAAGAACAGTGGCATTTGAAATTCTCCCCATTAGTTTAACCAACTATAGGTAACAGAACATTGGAGTCACAAGTAAGAGTTGGAACCAAAAGCATTGAATTCAAAGTATCTCTCAACATCTGAAAGTTCAAATGTTGGTGCCCAGGCCCTTGGCCAATGGTTCTAAAGCTTTTTTGACACAGTGGCTCTGTATCAAAACCACCCAGCAGGCTTCTTAGAACAGAGAGCAGGTCCTGCCCTCAGTCTCCTGTTCAGTAAGTCTGGAGTAGGCACCAATAATTTTCAGCTCTGACTGGTTTTCAGGTGATGCCCAGGGCCTCACTTTGGGAAGCAGTTTTCCATGAAAGCCTAATGGGACAGGTCATGCATACAACACAGTGGCCAGACAGAAAAAAGCCTCACCTAGCGTTCAGTGAGCCACATTCTTTTGGTTAAACTCAAACTAATAACAGTGTTATTCTGTTGATATTTTAATCAAGTCCATGTCATCTCATTATGTTTCTTCTGCCCTTATCTCAGTGTTACTAAATGTTTTACTGGCTCTGTCACTACTTCCCATCAACCTATCCAGCACCCCACTGCTTCTGCTGAATTCATTATCTCAGGTTAAATAGATTCATAACAGAGTTAACTTTTTCTTAGAATAATGAACATAGCAATGAACAAAAATCATAAAGAGATAGAGCAACTGAAGCAGTGATTAAATGAGAAGAGTTCTATTGAGAATAATCAGAAAAGGCCTCAGTAACTTTAGCCTGAACTCCCTAAAAATAGAAATAATTTCCCTTTTCCTTTAGTTTTCTGTTTTGTCCACTAGCAGGCAGGCCAGATCCTGACTAGCCATTAAATAGGATGCTCTGATAGGAAGACATCAGTTTCCACACAAATAGAGAGAACTTTCATGAGTAAAAATATGGAGAATGATTATAATGCAAAAGCCATAGCAAAATATCACTGACTCATGAATTCATGTCCATCTCCCGGAAAGATATATTAGTGCCTTTGTAGTTATATTCATTGGGTCAGATGGAACCAGGAGGGTAGCCATGGTACAACGAAAGGGTCCTTTAGTGCCCTCATGAACGAATTCATCTCATTTCTCAGGGCTGTGAGTGAATGAAAATAAGAAATTACAATGGAAATCACACTGCAATCTTACTCTGGGCTAGGCTACAATGAAGACTATAATAATATATAATAAATATGCAGCAAACCATCCCTGTTAAAGGAGATGCTCCATCCGCCGGCGTCTGGTACCTGGTAGGCATCCATCATTGCACATACAATAGGCCAACTGCCCTGCGTTTCAGGAGAAATGTTACCACCCAGCAATTACAGGTTCAGGCATTTCCTGCGCACAGAAAAGAAAGTAGTGCTTCACAATACGGGCCCTGCACGCTGGCTTTCTATGCAAAAATACCCTGACACAGTGCCCTTCTCCTTGCCTTTGGAGATGCGTATTAATCAAGAAGCTGTTGGAACAACTGCTGCACTTCAGACTGAGGCTCCAATCCAGTTACTTAAGTTCCAAGAGCCAAGACCTCCGAAAGGGCTTGGGGTCTCCAGGGCTATGATGGCAGAGAGACAAGTCAGAATCTCACTTCAGCGCAGGACTTTACAACGTTTTATGAATTCAGTCAGCATACGGACTTCTTCAGGCAGGGAGAATTTGCATTTTAACTAATTCACTTTGAGATTGGTATCAGACATGGAGGAGTGTGTCCCATTAGTGATGACAAGGCCTGGAGAAACTCCTGTGTGCTGGATTTTGGGGTGATGCTGCATCTCAGGTCTGTAATCATGGCCTGCTGTCAGCGGCTTGCCACAAAGTACAGAGCATATGGCATCCTCCAAGGGCTCACTACTACATTTTCATTATTTTTTTATCATTATTCCTTTTTTTTTTTTTTTTACCATGTGAATCAGTTGGTCACTTTAATGCCTGGAATGAACTAAACAGCTAATCCCAAACAAATGGAAGGTGGGGAAACTTGTTTCTGTTCCTCGCTACCACACTGGCTTGGAGGGTTGCACCATCCCATCTGTGCTTATTTAAAACAACACGTAGGTATTAGGCATTCCCACCCCTGATATGAAGGGAGGGCACCCCAGAATCAAACAGGTAAAATTATATTTTTTATATAACCAGCAGTAACTTTTACCAGATGGCATCTGAAATGAAAATAAATTACAAATTTGCTTTTATTACACAAATACCAAGACTTCGGGAATGTCAATTCAAACTCAGCTATGCTTAGAGAAAGATAGAAAAAAATCTAAGACTTAATTTTAATCTTAGTCAAGATAATAATCCAAGTTATAGAATACTATTTTCCTTCAATCTGCTTTTTGTTTTGTTTGGATCAGAACAGGGGATGCCTTCTGTGGTCTTACTAAGTATGACACTGTGGATATTTAACATAGAGCAAGGGCATGAATATCAGACTTGTCTGAGTTCTCATCATTCAGGGCTCATAGGTCTCATCTCTTCTTTGATCATCTGGGTAGCTCCCAAATTGAATCTGTTTTCCTCTCCCTTCTCCCTCTACAGCCAACAATTTCATTCTGGACCAAGAGATCAATGAAATCATGGTTAGAGCGAAAAAGAACCTACTGAACTAAAGAATGATAAATGAGTAAATAAATTTCAGAGGAAAAAAATAGAGAGGAAAAATATGCCTACAAAGGAAGGTGAATAAAAACACAGATCTGGTGATCAAACTTGAGCATCATATACATTTATGGGTAATAAAACAAAAAACAGAAACAGAAAAACAAAAGTCTCCAGAGAGAGTTTAACCCCAGAAGGAATCTTTCAAACAGAGAAATACTTTACTGACACAATTTAAAAGTTGAAAGCTTCACATTTAATTATAATTACCACACTAAGATAGATTCTAGGTTAGAAATAATTCAAGCCAGAAGTGAGTTAGGGAAAAAAATTGATATCAGAAATGAAGGACACTCTCTTTCTGAACAATAGCTGCAGTTCCATTCAAAATCTTGATCAAATTAAAAATGAAAGGGATGAGATACATAGATATTAAAGAGGAAATCACAGCATCCTTCATAATTATCCAAATACTGCAAAAAAGCATACACTGGCAAAGAGTTTTCCTGATCCCAACAAGTCTATCCTACATCCTCCTGGCAGACCCAGTTTAACAACAAGATTTTGCATGGTTTTATGTGACATCCCCAAGTACCCAGCCACCGTCGTTCAGTTAAAGGGAAAACAACAGAAAGAAGATGGGCCTGCACCGTTTCTGTCCTGGCTTATGCTGGGCTTCTGGCAGCTCTGTCTTCACCTTGGGTCTCCTCGGCTGCCACACAGCTTTACCCAGAGAACCTGGGGAGGCATCTGCTGGAGCCGAGAAGGGAAGAGGAATTTTTAAGCCCAAGGATGGCGAGGTAGCGGGTTAAATTTTAATGAGTAGGTGGAAAGGAAGAGGAAAGGCAAAAAGAAAAGCAAAAAGAAGAAGAGCAAGGGAGGCAAGTCAGTGCCTGGTTACAGAACACTTGGGAGAGAGTAGATCACTAGGGCTATGCAGGGGAGAGGAGCACTAAAGATTCCTGAATTTGAGGACAGAAATGAAATAGCAAGTTGTGTCTTCCTGAGTCTGTTCCCAGCTCTGGAGGGTTTGGTGCCGAAGTCTCTAAGGCTATTCTTTCTTCATGCAGTTCACCTGGGCCCAGAGATTTCAGCCTGAACTGGGCTCCAAACATCAACCCCAGGACTAAAACCGACGCCCAAGGCCCCATTAGTGAGCCACTGTGTGCATTCCATGGGCAGCGACAGGTGACGGTGCTCAGTTGTTCTAGCCTGTGATACCAGATGTGCAGTAGTTATTAAAAGGGATAGCACTGGCTGTGAAAACGGAGGACTGGAGGAGAAAAAGCTGAACACATGCAAGGTATTACTATCCAATACTTAAGGAGAACATGACTATCATTTTCCTGAATTTGCTTTATTAAGAAATATGTAATCAAGAGTGGAAAGCAACTGTCACCAAAAACAAACAAACGAAAAAACCTGGCTCTATGGAAAAGTCTAATCTTTGCAAAATACAATGGTATGAAAACCCATCTCCTTTCACTTCTCTTCCACAGGCATCGCTCTGCTCGTGTGCAGTGTCCACTGTTGTTCCCGGCATGGACAGAAAACTCCTGGAAGGCTTTCAGACAGACCAGGGAGTCAGCCCCAGCCCCATTTTGCAGCCATTCTGTGGGCTGGAGCGACTTCACCCTGTCATTCCTCCCACTTCCCAGCCTCCCTTCTGCCTCAGGGCTCTCTGCGTGCTTTGCTTTTTTTGTGGGACGCTCTTCCCTCAGCTCTTGGCCAAATGATCCTGTACCTTTCCTTTAGTTCTCCATTCCAGAGCCACTTATTCACAGGAGCCTTCCCTGACCTCCCCAAGGGAGATACTCTCCCTGGTATGGGCTTTCTGTGCCCTGCATTACCCCTGTCCTACCATAATTAACACTAGAACTTGGCATCTGAGTGATGTCTGACTCTCTCTCTCTATGCTCTGTAAGAGCAAGGACCATGTCAGTTTTGCTCACCATTCATCTCAATGCCAAAGAGAGTCTCTGACACATAGAGGATGCTCAATAAAAAATTATTGAAGGAAGCCAGCCTTGGTGGTCCATATCTGCAATCTTAGCACTCAGGAGGCTGAGGCAGAAGCATTGCTAATGCAAGGCCAACCTGGGCTACATAAAGAATTCAAGGCCAGCATGGACTACATAGCAAGAACCTGTCTCAAAAACAATAATAAGAATAATTGAATGAATGGATGGAAAGAATGAATCCATTACCAGGTAGTTATCTAGCATGGATCAT